GCCCCTCCTGAGTTAAATATCAGTTTAGTGTTGTAAAATTAACATGAGCTTGCTTTGAGATGCCCCACTGGTGCAGGTAAGCCTGTCTCAGGTATTGGCCTTCAGTATCAATATGGCCTTCAGTATTTTGTCTAATCTTCCTTTATAGGTCCTCGTGTGTAAAGGGAACTGGCAGACTTTCTAGATTAATACGAGGTGAGCAAATACCAGCCCCCAGGCCGGATCCAGTCCACCAGGGTTAGCTTTGTGGGACATCACACAGCCACATTTATCTGCGTCTCCACAGGTACATGGATCACAACTCCTGGATTTCTGCGGATTGCTAACCCTGGTGAACTGCCTCTGTTTTATTGCCCAACCTTTCTCTAGAAGAAAAAACAGTGAGGATCATAAGGACAAGAAAAATGGGTAGAGCTGCTGAAGCACATACTTGCAAATAAATGTCCTGCTGTGTGATGATAAAGCAATAGATATAAAAAATATTTACAAAATCAGTAGACCTATCCAGGGGTGTAGAGAGCGGGGGGGCAGGAGCGGTCAGTTGCCCCCAGGCACCACGCTAGGGTGAGTGCAGGGAGAAAGGTGCACGCGGGTCTGGGATCGCCCAGCCCCATCACAGCAGCCATGGCCATGTCAGACCCTCGCATACTGTTCTCCCTGCGCTCGCCCTAGCGTGGCAGCCAGGGGAACTGCTCTCCTGTCCCCGCCCTCGCTATGCTCCTGGACCTATCCATACAGACAAATTCTCTACTTTTGACTGTACGATATCTGCAAGTATCGGCTAATATGATTAATGAAGGTTAAGCAAAAAGGTTTTAAAACTGTTAGAATGCATTTTCCAGATGAACGTCCTGAACCTATGGACATTTATTCGTGTACTTACCTATTAGGCTAGTCCTTTTGATTTCAATAGGACTACTCCTACTACTGGAATATTTGCAATACTGGGGACTACTTATATTAGTGTAAATCAGGACAGAACTCAGTCCAACATATCTAAGAAAAGGTTCACAGAACACAAAGTTATAAGAGAACTGTATTTCAAGAAAGCAATTTTTGAACATTTAAGAACTATGGGAGTATGGTGTAATCATGGGAGGAGATATTAAATTTATCTGTGGAAGAAGGTTGGTGTATCTGAAAATAATTGAAGCACAATAGACTATTTAATTCCAAAAGAAGCCTCTGCTGTTTTGTAAAGGTCTGCTTTCAACAATGTAAGATGAAATAAGAACGTGATAAGAAATAAACATGGTCACATATGACTTTAAGAGAAAAAAAATAGGCAGCCAAAGAGAGGGAGTTAATGTGAGCAGTTTGCAGGGATATAGGAGGAAGAGGAAATACGAGGAAGAAAACAGAACAATTAGAGGAGACACAAATCACCTATCATTCTAAAATAACTGAGCTACTGTCCTTTTAAAATTTGCCTTTAACTAGAAAAGTAAAATAAAACTTAGCTATGATCTTTGAAAAATCATGGCAGACAGGGGAGATTCCAGAAGACTGGAAAAGGGCAAATATTGTGCCCATCTATAAAAAGGGGAATAAGAACAACCCAGGAAATTATAGACCGGTCAGTTTAACGTCTGTCCCAGGGAAGATAATGGAGCAGGTAATTAAGGAAATCATATGCAAACACTTGGAAGGTAATAAAGTGATAGGGAATAGCCAGCATGGGTTTGTGAAGAACAAGTCATGCCAAACTAATCTGATAGCTTTCTTTGATAGGATAACGAGCCTTGTGGATAAGGGAGAAGCGGTGGATGTCATATACCTAGACTTTAGTAAGGCATTTGATACGGTCTCGCATGATATTCTTATTGATAAACTAGGCAAATATAACTTAGATAGGGCCACGATAAGGTGGGTGCATAATTGGCTGGATAACCGTAGTCAGAGAGTTGTTGTTAACGGTTCTAAATCCTGCTGGAAAGGGATAACAAGTGGAGTTCCTCAAGGGTCTGTTTTGGGACCCGTACTGTTCAATATCTTCATCAATGATGTAGATATTGGGATAGAGAGTACTCTTATTAAGTTTGCAGATGATACCAAACTGGGTGGGGTTGCAACTTCTTTGGAGGATAGGGACATAATTCAAAATGACCTTAGCAAGTTAGAGAAATGGTCAGAGGTAAACAGGATGAGGTTTAATAAGGAGAAATGCAGAGTGCTCCACTTAGGAAGGAACAATCAGTTCCATACATACAAGATGGGAAGCGACTGTCTAGGAAGGAGCATGGCGGAAAGGGATCTAGGGGTCATAGTGGACCACAAGTTGAATATGAGTCAACAGTGTGATGCTGTTGCAAAAAAAGCAAATATGATTCTAGGTTGTATCAACAGGTGTGTTGTAAGCAAAACTCGTGAAGTCATTCTGCCGCTCTACTCTGCGCTAGTTAGGCCTCAGCTGGAGTACTGTGTCCAGTTCTGGGCGCCACATTTCAAGAAAGATGTGGAGAAATTGGAAAGGGTACAGAGAAGAGCGACAAGAATGATTAAAGGTCTAGAGAAGCCTATGAAGCCAGGCTTCATGAACTGGGCTTGTTTAGTTTGGAAAAACGAAGATTAAGGGGGGACATGATAGTGGTTTTCAAATATCTAAAAGGGTGTCACAAGGAGGAAGGAGAAAATTTGTTTCTCTTGGTTTCTGAGGACAGGACAAGGAGTAATGGGCTTAAAGTGCAGCAGGGGAGGTTTAGATTGGACATTAGGAAAACATTCCTAACTGTCAGGGTGGTCAAATATTGGAATAAATTGCCAAGGGAGGTGGTGGAATCTCCCTCTCTGGAGATATTTAAGAACAGGTTAGATAGACATCTGTCAGGGATGGTGTAGGTGGAGCTTGGTCCTGCCTTGAGGGCGGGGGGCTGGACTCGATGACCTCTTGAGGTCCCTTCCAGTCCTATGATTCTATGATTCTATGGCTACATGAACAGTTAGGGTCATATATTTTCTTTGTTCTGCAGAGAATTTTCACTGAAGTCCATGGAAGTTTAGCACAAGGATCAGTGACAGTAGATGGTCCTTAGAATACAATAAAAGCCTTTTAAGCACTGTATAACTGCTGATACAAATCAGGTAAGAGAATACTTTAGGTATGTCTACACTTCAAAGTTAATTCGAACTAACAGCCGTTAGTTCGAATTAACTTTGATAGGCGCTACACACGCGAACCACTAGTTCGAACTTAATTCAAACTAGCGGAGCGCTTAATTCGAACTAGGTAAACCTCATTCTACGAGGACTAACGCCTAGTTCGAATTAAGTCGTTCGAATTAAGGGCTCTGTAGCCACTTAATTCGAACTAGTGGGAGGCTAGCCCTCCCCAGGTTTCCCTGGTGGCCACTCTGGGCACCACCAGGGAAATTTGTCTGCCCCCCTCCCGGCCCCGGAGCCCTTAAAGGGGCACAGGCTGGCTAAGGGGGCCCCGCCACG